CCTCCACGTCACACCCCGGGCCCGCCGCCCCCCGGCCGCACCCCCACTCCAGGCACTCACATTTGACACTCCTGCTCGTCCTCTGCTTGGAAGTGGTACGTCCTGTCATCTGCACGGGAAGAGGCGTTTCGTCGGTTACGAGCACGGACAGAGACTCAAAAAGAAGTGGCTTATAATTAAGCTGAACCCTCCGCTAGGAAACGAAGGACGTGTATGAAATCGTGCGCCCCCTTCCGCCATCCTTCACATGCCTGTCCTGGCTCGGCAAGTGTGGCTTTGAAATCCAAAAGGGTCCTGCCAGTTCTCATTTGGAGTCTAAAGCGACGCGGCTTCCAACAACGAAGCTATTCAACGAAAACCATCATCGGCCTCACAAAAGCTTCAGCTTTTTAAACTTGCTACAGGGTTGGCCCCCTAAAATTATTGTTGAAGCCCTCTGAAAAGTGAAAGCTTTTCCTAAAGCGACTGTCTCAGACGTTTTTCTGGCCTTCTTAGAAAACATTATGAGAAATTCTAACGACATGCTACGGGTGTGCTGTATCACATGCAGTGAACGCATGAGAACTGTGCAGTATCGATGGGACAGAAAATCTTCCTCTCACGCACGGCTGGCGTCAGCAACACTCACAAGGGCTTTGCCAGACCGCGGAGGCAGGAGAGAGGAGGGGCCGTGTGACCTGCTATTCTTGCCCGAAATGCATGACCTCAGTCCAATCGTGGGAAAGCATCAGGGAGAACCAGACTGAGGAACACGTGACCAAAGAACTGATCAATACTCTTCAAAAAAATATATATATCAGTTATGAAAGACAAGGAAAGACTACCGACCTGCCCTAGAAGACCAAGAAGAAATAGCTAACTGCAACGTGGGGTCCGGGACCAGGAAGGGACACTGTGGGAAAACTGGTAAAATCTGAGTAGATTCGGAGCCCACGGCATTGCCCCGGTGCTAGCTCCCTGCTCTGATAGATGATGTCCTGCGGCTGGTAACACGGAGTGGGCACTAGCACTGAGGTGACAGCGTCGGGCGGAGCTGGATGAGGGACACAGAAATCCTGTCTGCCATCAGCCCAGAACAAAGCGAAGGAGAAAACTGAAAAATAAAGGGAGGAAACCCAACCTCTCCACATGGCAGAGCAGTGACCCGCAGTGACTGTCGTTGGGGATGCACAGAAAACACCTGTGCCCCCTTAAAATGTGTTTTTTTATACTATGAAATCACTTTGGCTCATAGAACAATTCCTGGCAAGTTGGCTGGGCGGAGGCCGAGGCCCAGGGAGGTGCAAGGACAAGAACGAGCGTGGCCGGCAGCGAAGTCGACACTCTTCCGACCACACCACCCCCACCCCTTCTCCTGGCACCCGGGGATGAAACGACACCCTCTCTGTCCCCAGCCTGTTACTGAGGAGAGGAACAGAGTGAGGAGAGATACAGTTTAAGAGAACTGTCTCAAGCTCATAAAAAGGAACTGAACTTTGTGAGGAATGTTAGCGGCTGAGCTGGGCTGAACGGTCAGGAGTCTGCACCAGCCCGGAGCAGGGCCACCTGCCCTGCTCCCACCTTCCCCCCGGTGACACGGCCTCGCCAGGAGAGTGAGGGGGACGGGCACATCCACACCCCACGCCAGGTGGCTCCGAGTTCTCGGGAAGCGGTGCTGATGGCAGGCAGTGCCAGAGGCCTGTGTCAACCACGGAGGCACGTCGCGGCCAGACCAGGCTCAGCTCGGGGGGCGGTCAGAGCGACAAGGGGTGCAGCATGCTTCTGGCTAGTTCTGTACCCTAATGTGAGCCCTGGAGAAGCAGGGAAATACTCTGTGAAAACGTCTCCAACCGGGTCTGACCCGTTTCCAGGTTTTTCTATGACAACCCGGACTCACATAGGAGGGCAACAAAGCATTTTCACTCGATGCTCCGAGTGGAGGAGCAGCTTTGAAAATGAGCTGGAGATTAAAAAAAAAAAAGTATGTATCTGGATTCATTCTACCCCGTGGACGGGAAAGGAGAGAACTTTTTTCCGAAGATGACAATGGACTCCGGCACATTTTCAACTGTGCCTCGAACGTGGTAAGCGTTTCTGGGATCCGGGCTGGACGCCCCTGCCTGAAGACACACACTACGGGCCGGGCACTGGGGCAAGGGTGCCGATGGAACCCGGGCAAATGCCGGCTTGCCAGCGTCCACACGCAGCCACGCTTCCCCAGGACTGCCTGCGCACGCGTCTAAGGCGGCGGCGACTCACACTCGGTCGCTGGTGAGGCCCCCTTACCGTCACCCGCCCTGCTGGCGTGACCTGCACCTCCAGTTGTTCACAAGCCTGAAGTAGATGCTTCTGCACACAGGGCCTTGAACCGGGGCTCCTGCAGGGCTGCTGGAGGGGCCTGGGGCGCACTGAGGGAAGTGGCCGCACCCCTTCCATGTGTGGGCAAGCTGAGTCAGCTACATGGCAATCATGCCAATCGGTGATTGAAGGGTAACATGCTGCTTATTACGGGTTATTGCTTCGGAAATCGGAAAGGCCCTCCAGTGTTCGCTAGCCCTTGGTGACACCAGATTGCACCATCACGTGCTCTCCCTGTAACCAGACTCTCAATCGGTCTCTGGAGGCAGATGGCCCCAGCAGCGACCACACTCTAAACTATGGTCAGTTCTCCACGTTGACACTGTCTTGTACGGATCAAGAATCTGAGCAAGCGTCCATGGGAAGGGCAGGTGAATTTGGGGACCTTACTAGGCTGAGTAGGGACACAGGGTTCGAAGCAGGATAAAGTCAGTTTTATTTTACGAATCAGTGTAGACTGAAGAAAAGGACAGACACCACCAGACCCTTCCCCCATGACGCGCTGGTCAACGCGCTCCCAGAGCCGGGTCCTGAGTGGATCAGAACAAAGAGAAGAGGCCCGAGGGTGACCGCGGTGTGCCTGTCTCCTCGCCTGGCCAAGTGGTGACGACAGTCTACTCTCAGCGTGAGACTGTACAGCAAGCAACTTCCCAGCCTCCAATGACAATGCACAGACATCCTATAAAGCAGTGCTCGGGGACACGGAGGCCATGAGGCAGCGCCTTTCTTAAAATGTATGGTCGCGTTTCCCTCCATAAATATAACTCTGTGCCCAAATCCCTAGTGTCTGCCTTTTGAAAGGGGAGCTGGCCTGGTTCTCCCGTCACCCCCACCCCGGACTGTAACTGCCACATAAACTGCCAGGAACAAAAGCCCTATCATTTTCTTTATGACTTTCCACTAGTCCTTCCCTTTTTCCCTTAGGGGATGCTGAGGGAACACTCACCACGACAGATGGTTCTGTGGTGGTTCTGCTGTGTATAACCCCAAAAGACAAGCACACGGAGGCAGAAAGACTAATTCTGTGGTGAGGAAGACACAGTAACTTCAAAAATGGAGGCTTCAGGGGCTCTGCTGGAGACTCGACCCCTTTAATCCGCAGCATTTCTAACATTACCCAAATCACGGATGCCTGGACAACAGACTTGTTCTTTGTTATAATTAAGTGAAGGGATTTTAGGCTTGAGGGCTGATCTAGTATAATCTCCTTGTTTACAAATAGGAAAACTGAGGTTGGGAGCCGGGACGACGCATCTGGCTTACAGAGGCACAGGGAGAATGGGGCCGTCTTCAACGCCAAGTCCTAACCTGGGGAGACCGGCAGGCCAGCGGTGGTGAGCGGGAAAAGGAAGCACATATGTCACCCGAAATAAAGGCATTTCTCTTCGAAAAGCAACTCTTTCAAAACACTGTGTGAAGGGGACTGATGCCCTAGAAGACAGTTTAAAATAATTGCTCGGCCCAGCATCTGAGAAATAAACTTACGTGAAATAAGGTCAAAACACTTTTTCTCCTCAGGGCTGCTCTTCACCTGGCAGGTTAGTAGGTTGAGCTTCGCAGGGGGCCGGTTAGCCTGTTTAGAAACGAAAAACAGACATGGGTGGGAAGAAGTGGAAAATCACGCAGAATCATTCCTCACTGAAATACAGCAGGAACGGGGTTTCCACTAGTTCACAGACAGCTTCCAGAAGGCAGATTGCATGTAGGAAAGCACGACAGAGGCACGTCGCAGAGCGTCCTTGAATCTCAGCTCCACAGAGGACAACCGGCCCGCCCTGTAAGGGACACTCGGTGACCCACACACCCAGCCAGACAGGGGACAAGCGATGCTGGCTTTACGGTCAGTGGCGGTGGACTCCCTCAGACCAAAACGCCCCACGGCTACAGCCCGAGCTGTGTGGCCCTGATTCCCACCGACACAGACGTTGGCTGCATGACGTGGGCGTCCATCTCAATGTCTGGTGATCCCACAAGCATTTTTCTGAGCGTAAACACTCGATTCCAGGGCAAGTAATCTCATGGCACAAAAAATGACAGAAAAGTAATTTTCCCTGCTTCCTGAAGTGATGACAGATAACAGATTCATAATCCTAAATGCCAACCATCTGTCACTTACCATTCCACAAAACCAACCTTGTTCACACGTATCTCCCAACCCCTCCCACACGCACAATGGTAGCAAGAGCTCACAATACATTTTTGTTAGAAACGTGTCAAAAATGTCTAGTACGATTTCAAAAAATATCATATTTAGTCCCAAGAAGCAAAAAGTGGAGCGTGAGAAGGTAATTTCAGGAAAAAATTCTGAATGGCAAAATGCCTCTTAGAAGTCTTGGCGAAATCTCCACATATGAATGGGCTTATCTTACTCGCCTTTCAAGCTGCTAACGGAAAGATCAAATAAAATTTGATCTTTCAAATTTAATCAATCATTCTAGTTTACCCCTTCCCGTGGCCACCAGCCACCTCAAGAACATGTAAAGGCGTGGATTTGGGGTTAATCGAGACACACACATACACACCTGCATCTACCCCAGGGCAGACCCCTCTCCACTACACTCTCAGGTCGGGGGTACGGGTGGCGGGCAGTCTCCACCGCAACAGGACCGGCCCTTACAGTGCAAACAGTCTGGGTTTGGTAAAAGGAAGTCTGGATAAGCATAAGTTGGATAAACGGGCTGGTACGAGACTCTCCTGGTTTGTGGCTGTGTCAGCCTCATCTCTTAGATGAGTCACTGGAATAGTCTCCATGGCCTCAGGATGCCCATCGAAATCCCCAGATCACCGGAAATCAGTGTCAGAAAACTCCAAGTTCTGCCTAATCTTGCAAACCAAACCTTGACAGCGCCCAGTGAAGGCACCATCAATCCCATTTGGGATCTTTACCAATAGAATGACTTGGCTTGTCCAGGAGTCGATTCACCAAATGATGGATTTCTACAGTGCCAAGTAGGAGGCCACCCCATGGACACCACCGAGCACTCTGACACAGGGGTCCGGCCCTCACGAGGTCCGTGTTTGTCCTGTTGCCTCCCAGGATCACATGACTGTGCATGTGCACGTAGGTGATGCTCTCGGCTGCTTCCAAACTGCAGAGGTCCACTGAGCCCTCGACACGCGGCGAGGAATGGGATTGGTGCACTTGTGAATACAGGACGCGTCATCGTGCAATTCAGCTCCAGGACGGGCCTGTCGAATCCACCAGCATTCCTCGAGGGTCACCGTGAGAAGCCCTGGGTTAGTGGGAGACTCAGGGAGGGGTGGAAGCAGACCCTACAGGCTTTCTGCTTGCCGCAAAGGCACGGATTAGCGAAATTCCCATTTTTATCATGCCATTTCATTCTATTTTTCACTAATTTGTCAGGTCTTTAAAAGGACGTTTGTAGTCTTCCTTCTGCATGACTGGGAATCACTTAAAATGTAGACGGTGGCGAGAACCATTTCTCCCAGCTTAACACGGTCTCTGGCGGCGTGACGGTGCCATGAACTTGGCAGACGACATCTAATTAGAGTGACTTTGTCCCGAGGACCATGTCTTCCCAGGGCGAGCAAACACAATTAGCCTTGGCTAAGGGGGGTGCCAACTTGAGTTTCCACCGAATTCATCCCAGAGGTCATCGCCGTGCCTCTAAAACCCAGAAAACAACTGCACTTCACGAAGGCTGCCAGCTTCCTGGGAAGGGACTGGTTTCCTAACGGGGCACATACGCCCTGTGCTCCCACGACTTGAAGACCCGATTCTCCGCGGAGTGCCAGATACTGCTCTCAGATTCCCACCGACTCGGTCAAGTCTGAAAAATCACCCTTTTCCCCCCGATGGTCCATCAGCAAACTCAGGGAGATGCTGGCTGAACAGGCAAGCCACACGAGGAGGCAACTCCAAGCAAAGCCAAACAAAAGGGCACCTCTCAACCCTTGTTCTCAGCTGAGGTCACCTCGCATGAGTGCGTGCGGATGCTCTGAGGCTGCGGTGGTATGGGGGCGGGTGTGTGTGGCAGGGGGCAGACCCTGGCTTCCCACGAGCACCATGCACAGTGGGGGAGAGAGAAGGAGCTGGCCACAATGGAGCGAGGGCTGCCACAGGGACCACACATCGTCCAGAACAAGCACAGGGACGGCGCCCTCACCTGCCACACTTCCAGCCGCTCCTGGCCAGTGAGGCTGGGAGGCAGGACGAGGCATCCAGAGAGGGCGGGTTCCCTGAACACAAAGCACTTATTAAATGGCAAAGGGTGTGACGAGCGGAGCCGTCCGCATGCTGGTAAAGCTAATACCAACAAGTGCGCCCTCTGCCCAACGCTGCAGCAACTCCTCCAAACTGAGGGAACGAGGGCTCCGTGTCCTCCAGAGGCAGCTCACGGAACGGAAGTGACTCGAACCAGTCTACGCCGTCGGCAGAGCGTACTGGGGAGGGACACCCACTCCTGGGCTTAAGCTGCGGCCCGGGCCTGGCAGGACACTAACGACTGAACGACTTCAGAGCTGTAAACAAGCCTGGAATGGAACTCGGTCTTATTTCATAAAGCTTTCTGCATCGAGGCAGTAAACCCGAGTTAAAACGACTGAATGGAAAACCATTTGAAAGCAAAACACAGACTCGATCGCAGGCGTTTCGAGCGGGAGGGGAACCCTGACCGCCCGCTGGTCTAACGGTCTTAGTTGGAAGTGGCGGCGAAGCGAATGTGCTTCCTGCCGTCTGCGGCACCAGGCCCGGCGCACACGCAAGGACATCACGCCAGGTCCGAAGTGCACGGCCCCAGGGACGGGGTGAGCTACAGGAGGCCCGCGAGGCTGGATTTCAGAAAAGAGAAATGACCTGTATTTGCCTAGGCAAGAGACGCATTGTCTCCTAGGCCAGAGGTCCCAAGAGACCCCCACAGTACTTGACACCTCTAGTCAGCTCTACAGTGTCTCTCCTCCCCGAGGCAGACTCCATGAAAACGTGGGGCCCCCGGAGCAACGCAACCTGTGGCAAGGCTGCCCTCTGCGTGTGCCCCCATTTGATCCTTCCTTCCTCCTCAGTACTGAGAGCTGTTTCTCTGGAAGCCACTCAGAGCCATGGTCTTTCCACAGGGGCCTAAAAGGCCTGTCTGTGCCCCTGCCCAACGCTGCCTCTCACCAGAGAACTGGTGGGAACAGGGGGAGGGGGCGAGAGAGAGAGAGAGAAAAAGAGAGAGAGAGAGAGATAGAACGAGAGAGAGAGAGAGAGAGAGAGAGTGAGAGAGTATGTGTTGTGTGTGTTGGGGGGTGGGGTGGGTCAGGGTCGTCTGCATTGCCACCCACGCACGGCAGTGAGGCTGCTGGCGTGCACACAGCACCAGGCCTCCTGATGGGGCATGGGGATGCGAGCTGTCGCCAGCGCTCGAGAGCCACGGAACAGCAACCAACTGAGCTTTAGGCCTACAGGATGTCCCCGGCTCCCGTCACACTGCAGGACGTCCCCGGCTCCTGCCACACCAGGGAAGGCGACGCTGTCCCTAATGCTGCTGTGGAGAAGAGCACTGTGGTATGAGAGGCTGTGCCTGTGACTGTGGTCACAACCCCTGGTCTCAGAAAGCGAGATTCGTACATCACTGTATTCCGACTGGTTTTCAACACGCGGAGCTCGGTTTCCTGCGTGGTCTGTTTTACACAGGATGACGGACAAAGGGCTCGATTAGGCTGGGGTGCGGGGTGTGAGATTTCCATAATAAAATTACTGAAATCTGTCCCCTGGGGTTTCTGATTCCCAGAGTCCTGACCACGTAAACGCTTTCCCCGTAATGGAAAAGTAGAAATCTTCCCAAGCACGATGTTGTTTCTGGAGACAGAGGTGGCTGGGGAGCGGTTTGCTGTTTCTTTGTTTGTTTGTGCAAGTCGCGGGCTTCTGAATAAAGACCGCCTGGCTCATCAGTTATTCCTGACTCTGCTGGATAACAAAAGACAACACGCGTTCCTCGGCTGGAGAAGCGTGAACGGGGTGCAGGTGAACCAAACGGAGAAGGAACCCACCCAAGCTGCCCTCGGCAGGGAACGTCTTTAAATGGCATCCTTCATGCAGCTGCACACGCTGCGTCTGCCCCCCGCTCGTCTCCCCGCAGCAGAGACCGCGGAGTAGGAGAGGGTACTTACAGTCCCGTGGGATATCGTCAGAAACCCATTTTTGACGGAACATTTCCGTTTCTGCCACACTTTTCGGATCCTAACAGGTAAATGGGAAAAAAAGTAAGAGTTTAGGAATTCTGGACGCAGGAGGCAATGGGCGCACGAGCGAGCTGGCGACGCCTCCCACGTACCCGTCGCTTTTCTTGTAGAGGCTGCCGTTCCGCTCCGTGCCGTGCTCCTTGTTGCCCTGGGGCTGATGTAAGCTGTAGGCTGCACTCTGGCGAAGCTGTGAATCCTGGAAACGGTGAAGAAGTCGGTTTTAACCCTGTCCAGATTCCAAATTTCTAAAAAGCAGTGCACAAAGGAAACTTATGTCCTTAATTCTTTTTTTTTTTTTTAAATTAGGGAAATTTTCCTTTCTCGCCACACCAAAAAAGGAACAAAAAAACTCATTTCCAGGAACTGGTATATGCCACCTACCAGGATGGAGAATGTCAAAAACTGGTACCCCAAACTGGCCCAAAGAATGAGCCGTTTGGAAGTTACGAGATTTTACTTAATTATGAGTCTTAGGTCCCCGATGGTGACAAGAGGCTCCTGACATGCCAAAAGCAGCCTGGGGAAGGAAGGTGACCCAATGTGCTGGAAAAGCAGGGCTTTCAAGCAAAAAACAAACAAACAAACAAATAAATAAATAAAAGGAAAAAAATAGAAAGCAATGTTCTCTCTCTTCAGGCAAGTTACTTAAGCTCCCTGACTCAGTTTCCTCCTTGGAAAATAATAAAAAAAACAATACCCAGTAAGGATGGTAAACATAGTCAGGCTTGAGAAAGAAACACGTGTGAACCCCTGGTACACACAGGTACTGAACGCTGTTCACGCACTTCCTGACCCCACCAGTCCCAGGAGAGGGGCTGTGGCCCCAAACCCAAGTGCCTCAGGCTCGGGGTGGACTGCCCACTTGGTCAGCTGAGAACCTGGCTGAGGCCACCGCAACTGGGAAACTCCTACCATCAGCGTCGTAAGGGCAAGGGCCATCAGAGGAACCTGGATGTCCAATGTGCCAGACGCTATCAGAGGTCCTGGGCTGGGATGGGAGCGGCTGCCAGCGCTGGGGATTCTGGCAGGTGCGAGGGGACGGGGGCGGGGAGCAAAGCGGGGACCGAGTCCACAGGTCCACCAGGCGGGCTCAGATGTGCCCCACCCAGGTCACTTGGGGACAGAAGCAGCACAAGAACAAGGAAAACAAGTGATTTGCTGCAGGTGCAGAGCTTGTCGGAGCCAGAGCAGCAGGTGGAAGGGCATCCTGCCTCCCACTCACACGGCCCTCAGCAGGGGACGCCCAAGGGACCGGGGCCAGCCTCACCTACGCCACCAGGCAGACGACCGCCCTTGGGGAAGCCTGGCTCTGCCCAGACAATGGGAGCCAAAACGGGACAATCGGCGTGACCCAGACTGAGACGTGAAGAGCCAAATGGCGAAAGCCACGAGGGTCTGGAGGGAGCGAGCTCTAAAGGTAAAAGCAAGAGCTGGCGGAGAAGGGAGGACATTCGGGACCGAGGGGACGCGCAGAGGCACAGAGAGGCAAGCAGCAGCGGCAGCCGCCTCCACGGAAGTAAGGACAAATCACGTGGCTCACATGAAGCGTGGCAAGTGGACAGGCGGGCCTGAGTCACAGTTTCGACTTTGTCTGAAAGCAACAGTGAGCTACCTGGCTGCCTGGCAGTTTTAAAAAAGATTTCTGAAGCACAAAAGCCTTTAATGATGAAGTCCAATTTATCTACTTTTTATTATTATTATTATTATTTATGCCTACAGCACCTGGTCTTCCTAGGTGGTTTTCCATCCAAGTACTAACCAGGCCCGACCCTGCTTAGCTTCCGAGATCAGACATCGGGCTTGTTCAGGGTGGCGTGGCCACAGACCATGGACTGTTTGGCTCCCCTGGGACATGAACCCAGGGCCTTCTGTGTGTAAAGCAGACGTGCTCACACCACACTAGTGAACCACACCCTCTACCATTTCTTCTATCGTTTGTACACTGATGTCACATCTAAGAAATCACTGCCTAATCCAAGGTCATGATGATTCACACCTATGTTTTTCTCTAAAAGTTTTATAGTTTTAGCTCTTCGATTTAAGTCTTTGGTCTATTTGGAGTTAATTTTTGATTATGATGTGAGGTAGGGGTCCAAATTCATTCTTTTCCTTGTGGCCATCCAGCTGTCCCAGCATCATCTGTTGAAAAGACTATTCTTTCCTCATTGAATTATTTTGGCGCCCTTGTTAAAAATCAGTTTTTTAAGGGTTTATTTCTGGACTCTCACTTGTTTCACTGATCCACGTCTGCCCTTATGCTGGTGCTACGCTGTCCTGATAAATTACAGCTTTGTGGTAAGCTCTGAAATAAGAGTGAGTCCTGCGACTCTGCTCTTCTTTGTCATGACAGTTTTAGGTATTTTGGGTCACGTGCATTCCCATATGCATTTTAGAATCGGCTTGTCAATTTCTGTAAAAAGGCAGAAATGGGGGTTGCACTGAATCTGCAGATCAATTTGGGAAGAACTGGCATCTTAGCAACACGAAGTCTCCCATTCCATAAACACAGGTTGTCTAGCACTGACTTCTTAACTCTGAAATGTATATGGGATAACTCTGCAAAAAAAAAAAAAGGAAAAAGAAAAAAAATCTTCATCTGGGAAATCAATAGTGTGCTCAGGCATTCCATTATCGAACTGACAACAAAGCCCGAACAAAGAGACCCCAAAATAAGAGAAATGTCCTCATTTTCCGCAGGGAGTTCACAAAGCACTTAGGCCTCCTGACAGCTAGAGCCAACAGCTCGTCCACTGGGTGAGGATGGGCCCAGTTTCCACATTCTCTCAGAAGGGCAGCATATTAGCACTAGAAATTTAGAACAGACCCGGCTTTACTCATCACTGGGAATAAACACAGTGGAGAGGAAATGGAGAATTGCTGCTCACCTACATGAATCTCTGTGAAAGACTAAAAATACACCCGTCAAAAGACTAACCCGCACAGCCAAGAAATACGTCTACTGATCCGGGGAGGGAAAAAGAAGCCCTGCACGAAATAAATGGTGACAACCTGCTAAAAGTGTTCGTGTCGAGCATATTAATCAGAACTCTTTACAGGTCTCATGAAGAGAATAAAGGACGCTACACTTTTCAACAAAATCAGACCCTACGCCAGAAGTGAGGGAAGTAATTACTGTTTTATTCTTCAGACCAGGCATTTCTTGAATCAATTAAAAATGCAGGCAAATTGAAGCTGTAAAATCTTAAATGTGTACATAAGAGCAATATAATTTAACAGGAAATTGAACCTGCTTTAGAACTAATTATGTTAGCATCCTCAAGGTGACTTCTAGGTGACCCAACAAGAAGGCTCGCTTTCACAGGTGTTTGATATTAACACGTGATCAAGTAAAGGGGTGAATAATGAAGTTGGCCCTTTCACGTGACCAAAATTTTGATTTCATAAAATATAATCCAAGGGAAAAGAGCCTTTCTGAGGAGGAGAAGAAGAATCTAACACATAGAGAGGCAACTGGCCAGGAGTCCATGCTGCCCTGATTCTCGGAGGCTGTCCATTCCCCAGACAGCCAGGACGGCCTACGATGGACTAAGTGAGCCTCGCCGTGTGCAGACTCTGTCTGAGGCACGCGGGCTAAGTGGGCATTCTACGGACCTTCAGAAAGCTCTCATAAAATTCTATCAATAGCCATGCATCCTCTATCCTGCGACACCTAGACAAGTCCTCAGATCCCAGGCACTGTCCACGTGTGGCCTTGTGAAATGTTAGCCATCAGGTCCTGCCAAGACGGAAACCACCTAGAAGAGCAGTAGACTTCATATCTGAAATTTTTAGGAACAAGGTAAAAAAGGGTCATTATCTATAATTATACACATACAGGTTTACACATGACGTCAGAAGTATCCCTGAGCACTCGAAGACTCTAGAACATCATAAAAAGTTTACACTCTGTCCACCTCTCAGTCTGTACTCAGACAATTCTTGTGATGAACGGGTTGCCAAGCGTCACCTTAAAGTTTCTCTGCCAAGGGAGGGCTGTGCTGTCCATTCAACTCACTCAGCGTCTGCCCAGGCATCACAGGTACGCCCGCCCACACGCTGCTGGAGGCTTTGCTAAGCAAGCACTAAGCCACGGTCTAAGAACGGTGTTTTCAAATCTCACTGCCACCTGTTCTCTATTATTTCTAGGTAGTTTTTAAAAAGATTCTGTCTGACGCATGATAGTAAAGTCACACGATAGAGCGGAAAGAGAACAGGCCTGCAGTGGAATAGATCAGGATTCAAATCCTGACTCCGACACTACGGAGTGCATTCCAGCAAGTGTGTATACCCTCTATCTCTCAGACTCAAGTTGTGAACGTGGGCTAATACCACCTGCCCTGCCAGGCGGTGTCCGGATCTCTGGTCACGCCTGTAAGGTGCCTGGAAAAACCTGAGAAGTGAGGCTGGTAGGAACTGCTGTGACAACGGATAACAGCTTCCTGGCCAGAGCGAGGGGTCAGCTGCATCCCTGATCCATCCTCCAAACCCTCATTCCCAACACACACGCTCCCGCCCCTCTCTGCGGAGACATCCCTTCTTGGAGCTCATCTCACTGCACCCCAGTGACTTTTCTGACCACATCCCCAGACTGGGAGCCCCTTAGAAAGTGAGAACGGCATCTATCTTATCCTGTTTGTGCGGTACTGGCTTAGAGTAGCCGCTAAGAAATGGTAGCTGAAATGTGTGAATAAACGAACAAGTCCTCCACTAAGGCAGAAGTGAAGGCCAGTGCTCAGCCGCCCAGGCGCCTGGCAGGGAACGGACGGCTGCCAGCGGGTTCTAAGGCCGGATTCAGGCATGAGAAAACATGCGACCCTCGGCCAGAAAGCCAAGGTCAGAAGAGAATATGGCTGTCGTGGGCCTCTGTGACCTGGACAGCACGTGCTAGCCAGCCACATCCCACCAGACAAGGACACTGAAGGTGCGGGGGAGCAAAGCTGAGAAAAAGAGAGACCCACATGGCCATTTCCCGGAGGCCGGGTCCCACCCCAGCTGCACAGGGCTGGGTTCCCGACCTGGAACCTCAGAGCCCGCGTGCCCACGACCAGGTTTCGGCAGAGAATCCGCCAGCGCTGCAGTGGGATCCGACCCGGCAGAATGCCCCGGGGGCGGGCACACGTGAGATGGGGAAGGCAGGGGAAGGTGAGGTGGTCAGGGAACAGGCAAAAACCGGCAGGAAGGGTTCAACTTCGCAGAAGGGATCCTTCCCGAATGTTATAGTGATGGTGCATGTATAGGTGTTTCCCATGATTTTCCAACTCTTCTATAAATGTGAAAATTTTCATAATAAAATAATAGAAAAACCGCAGCATGCTCGTCGCAGAGGGCAGAAATACCAGAAACAAAATACGAATGTCAGTGATTCGGAGGCATGAGGGGGGCTGGGATCACAATGGCACTGTCTCCTCTCCCAAGTGTCACCACAGGGCGACAGGGAGCGGCAGACCGAAGCCACCAGATGTAACCACCACACTCTTCACGTAGACCTTTGAGCGGCTCCTAGATCGTGCACCTTCCTCGGGGCACGTTACCTAATTTCCATGAGCTGTAACTGTGCCTAATTTCCATGAGCTGTAACTGTGCAGTCAGAATTTTTGTGACACTGAATACAAACCACCAACACCTTCAGTATTCTGACCCACGGAAGAGAATCCAAAAAAAGGGGAATGAGAGCCTGAACGACAGTGTCCAAAATGCCAATTCTCATTGCAACTGGAAGCACACGAGATGGAACCCCCAAGAAATTACTTAAAAATCTATCAAATTTAACACACATGTTTGGTTATTACTTGGGATTGTATCCACAGAAAGTCCAATTTCTGGAATATCACCATCAAAAAGCAATGCAGAGTGAGATACACAGAAGATTTTCTATATTTCACATTCCCAACCAGGAGACGGCTGAATCCGGTCTTTGGACTTCTAGCCAAGAGCGTGGCAGCAAAGAAGCTTCACTTGACCCCTGCGTGTACTCTGAGGCAGATGAGTTGGCCAACAAAAACCACAGAACAACAAACCATAATGACTTCTGGTCTGTGCTGGTAAATGTTTGACTTTTCTGCAAAGCCATAAATAACCAGCTTTCCGACAACAGCGTTTCCCCGAAACCCCGAATTCTGCACAGCCCAAGCAAACTCGGCCCTTGCACTGTGCCCACGGGCCTACTGAGCCCCAGCAGCTGCTCGCTTTTGTTTCGGTCCAGGGCTCCGCTTCACAGGGCCGAGCCTCCTTCTCAGACAAAAGCAGCTCAAGCGCCCCACTGATGTGTTTGGGTACGGGCTGCCGCCGAGGCGTCGGCTCCCACGCCTGGCACCACTTCTGGTTACGGTCAAGCCACTAATTTCGTCACACTCCAAGTTCTTTTTTGTTTCCTTTTCTGCTTATATTCCCAACTTGGGAACATCAAAGTGTCAGCTGTGTGTTCTCTAGACTGGGAGGAAGTCACCATGCAGTGGGTAATTTCTAGCACTAATATACAATGACCTCGATCTGCCAATCTCTCACTTAGCTGACCCACGTTTACCAAGAGCCTTCTCGATGAGCAATAAGGCGCCACAGCGTGATAGCAGGACAGGCACAGGAGACAGGAGGGCATCCTCAAGCTGCTCAAGGTCTAGCCGGAGAAAAAGCGTCTATGTGCTTGAAGACACTGCCAAACACCCACAGGGAATGTGGTGTGATTGAAATAAGTCTAACAAACGTGCTACGTGAACTCAGGCGACCGGGGCTGGGTGAGCCGAGGCGGCTCTCCGGGGCTGGGACCAGGACAGGCAGTATTCAGTTACGCAGTACAAGGGGTGGGAGGACAGCGAGGGGCGGGGGTTGCTTCATCTTCACAGAGGAACAGCAGCAAACACAGAGACTGTAAACCCGGATAATACAATTTCCATTTCACCGATATTTGTGCATTCAGTTTCTTTAGCCTTTAACAAAACCCACTGCTATCGAAAGACAAAGTGTTAACATTTTAAATGCTACTAATCATTAATATATACACGGAAGAAACTTTTTTGAAGTTCATGAGGAAAGCATGCAAAATTCTCCAATTTATTAAAATACTGAACTACTTACTCTCCTAGACTTCGGTCACAAAAGGTAAATGCATTTGGGAGAAAAACAACAATATTCAGTTACAGTATAGGAACTTAAAACAAAACAGAGCAGACCAAACCGCCAACAGTGAACTTTACGTTCCGCTAAGCAGTGTAATAGAGTTATTCATCCAAAATCTACTAGCGATACATTTAGATATATTTCTTTATAGACGAGGAAGTGGATTTATGTTAAATTTCACATTATAATATCCACACTGTAGTAAACATATCATAAAATTAATTACCTTAGAAATTTACTTTTTAATGTTTTTTAACGAGCCCCCAAAGCACAATTATCACTGCAAATGTGTTAGCATCAGAGAAGCGATTACACGAAAACGATGATGCCAGAGAAACGCGGGTTCCCCCGGCCCGTTAGAACGCGGCTGCGAAAAATCCAGCTCCTCACGCTGCACTGACAGGGCCAGGGCTGGAGTCGTCCGAGGGCCACCCGCTACCTGCTGAGGACCACGTGGGCAGAGGCCACGTACGTCAGGGCAGGGAAGCCCGGGTCCCAGGAAGAAGTTCGGTGGCGTAAATAATGCGCGTCTGTGGGACAGAGACGCTGAAGAGCGACTTGCCCAGCAACCGACAGAGCAGGAAGGGGTTGCGCCCTGCGCCGAGGCCATGGAACGTACCTAAAGAGCTGGCTCTCTTAAACCAAACCTCGAGAACCGAATGGTTCGGTGCTGCTCGCTATGGCCCCGGCGTGAACTGTGAGCACCTGGAAGACGTGGATTTCACCTCGGTCCCCAAGGCTCCGAGACAGAGCAGCACGACAGCCATCCTTCAAAATTAAATGCCCTCACCTCTTTCTGTTCGACCTGCAAGGCTGATTTCAAAATATCTCGAAGCTGTATCAATTGCCTTCTTTCTTCATCCTGGGCCTGTTTGATCTTTAAGAAAGCAAAACGAAACAGACAGAGGCACGGCTGAGTACAGTGAGTGCGGAGCCCACGGGGCATGCGCACATCAGTGCGACCCCTGCCGCCTTCGCCCGTCAAACCTCCCCAGCCAGGACGGGATGGGGACGGGGACCCCATGCTCTGTGAGACACCATCGGGCTGTTAGCTCCTGGGTGGCGCAGCATGTAAACACAGGATTATACAGAAGTGACTCTTTCATGAAAGTGTTTCGACGCTGGTGTGGGAGGGAAGTGGCCACTCACCGTGTGAAGGTCTGTTGACAGTGTTTCGATGGAAGGCTTGAGGCTTTCTACTGCTTTCAGTCCATCCTGGAAAAAACTAGGAGGAAAAGAGGAGAAGCGCGACAGTGTTTCACAAAGGAGAAAACGATCTCGTTAGATGGAGTTTTTAACTTCTGCAAAGGGTAGTGACTGAAATCGTTTCTGTAATTCCCAGGGGGAAAGACTGTACGAATCGTACCTTAAAGTATCAGTCAAACCAAGAATAAACAGACACTCAAAACTATGAGAAGTGACTAGAGAAGGAACTGCAATGCGCCAAATGTTTTTAACGTTTCTCGCCCCATTAAAATGAGCCCCAAGTTTTCAGTTTGTAATGGGAGACAGGACTCTGCTGAATGAGACAGCGAAGGCTTTGGTGAAGAGTCTGAGGCGGGAAAAGCACAGGGTGCAAACAAGAACAAGACCCTAAAAAATGTTCCTTGGCAGGTGGGAGCTAAGTGCAAGAAAGAACGCAGGGAAAAACTGAGCTCGCGGGACGCGCACGAGGCCCAACACCCCATCTGCAGAGTACAGAGAACTGCGACCCAATATCAAAAGGAACCTTTTTTTTTTTTTTAAAGCTCAGAACTCAGTGCTTGCGAACTCATTCATAACAAGTGATTCCTGGAACACAACAGAAGCTGGACGAGCTTTCCGGCAGCAACGGCGGACTGATGTCCAGCCCTCCCTCTGAAGCACGTTGTGTATGATACACGGCCCTTTGACGGGAATGAAGAAAATGCTTCTGAACGAGTTCACGACAGTTCCAAACTATGACAAGGCCTATACTGCCTATGTGAGTTGGCCCCTGCCTATGTCCCCAAGCTTCGACCCACACCATCTACCCCCTTCATTCACTGCATTCCAGACACACTGGCCTTCTCTCTATGGCCACCAAGTCCTTCAAGCCTCAGGCCCTTTGCACATGCTCCCCCCGCCCCCGCCTTTAATGAGTTCTCTCTGCAGCGTATCTTCTGGTTCGTCTGGCAGATTCCCGCTCATTCTTCAAGTTTTGAGATACATATCACCCAGTGAGGCTTTCGAGATTCCCTCACTGTAAAAGATTCCCCCACTTGCTACATGCTCTGAGCATTCCGTCTTTTACCTCAAACTTACTACAGCAACCACTATGTATTCATGAGTGTGATTATTTAAAATGTAATTCCGCCATCAGACCTGAGGTTCTAGGGGGGTACGACACAGTGTCCACAAAGCCTGCCACATTTCAGGCTACAACGTTTGGATAAAGAAGTAAAGGAAGGAAGGAAGGAGGGAGGGAGGGTCTGCAGCTTCTGCCAGCGTGCTGGATACAAGGAGACCAACCTCAAAACTGATTTGGGTTTCACGTGTGTTCATGTGGGGTGACGCTTATTACTTTGAAACTCAGCAACGGTCCTGTGGGAATTTCCTGTTTCATGTATGTAAAAAACAGGAGGGGCTGTAGAAACAACGTAACATGACACTTAACACAGTAACTCCACGGGGTGGGGGGCGGTGGAGGGAATGACATGCACCAGGTTACGGGCTGTGAACTGTTACTAGTTATTGAGTCACAGAAGCCGGGCTATTCGGATTTTCTTACCTTTTAGACATATACGTAATTCTTAATTTTATATTATATTTTCATTCCTCTATTTGACTTAACTCATTCTTTTGAATATAGATATAAGAATTATGTCAGAATGTTATAATGATTTCTGCACATGTCTGTTCCCACTGTCAGGGCAGAGATGCCTCATCTTATGCACCTCCATGCCTTCCGCTTCCAACACAACGGCCAGCACCCAGCGGGTAGTCCTTTTAAATTGAAAAGGAAATTTAGAAGAACAAACCTAAGAACGAGAAACTGTGTTTTCTCTCTTGTCATGAACTCATCTGGTTCTGATGTCTTCTTTCAGTTATATGTTTTTTCTTTATGTAACTATTTCCTTAATCACTTCAAATTCTTATAAAATAGGGGGAAAGAAGGAAGAGGAAGGAGGTGGGGAGGGAGAGGGGGAAGGAGAGAGAACGCAAACCCTGGGAGAGGGAGTAGGAAAAATATCCTAGGAGAGCAACCCGGGCCTTTCCTGGGGAAGGGAGCAGGTGCACTGCTCCTAGAATCTCTGTGCCTGGCAACTGTCCCCATGGCGAGACGGAGCCCCGCAGTGGAGCCGAGGGCTCAGAGAGGTGCCTCTCACCAGAGACACCGTGCCCAGAGTGACGCCGGACTGTGTGCCCGGAATAATGAAACAATCTGGGCTTAAGATTTGGATTTCATCTTTGTGATCCCCTAGGCAGTCTTGACCACCTACCTAGGAAACCTCCTCCCTCTGAATTTTTAAAATCCCTCTTTCTGCGCCCCTCACATGGAGGCAGGTTTTGGCACCTGGCTCCCGCTTCAGTTGGAGTCAGTCCTGGCCTTGGGGAAAGCTTCACAGAAAGGGCCTCGTCGCTGCTGTGCTCTCATCACTGTCACCTTCCTAAGCAAAAACCCCCGCACACTTCTCTTAGGTTGGACCCATTAACACTTTCCCAAGCTTCAAACACTTACCATTAATATTACCAAATACAAACTTTGTTCTCGTAAATGCTTTCCAGCCCGCCTGACCAAACTCTCGAGCCTTTACGACATACCCCCTTAGATTCAGTCTCCAAGCTCCCACCCAGCAGCCGGCCTCCGCGTCCTCTGATAGCCTTCAGGACAGCACACGACACTTGTGGCCGGTGACCGGTGTGCCTTCTGGGCCCCGACCCCCTCACTAGGCCCCGACCCCCTCACTAGGACAAGCTTCTCAGGGCAGGAAACTGCGTCTCACGCAATGCTGCACCCCGAGCTCAAGCACCGGCTGGTCAGGTGGTTCTCAGCAGGGGTTTGCTCAAAAATCAAATCACTTCAACATTCACCACCACCGTTTAGAACACGACCGTTTTTGTCTGCTTTATTGTTACTGTTTTAAAGACTGCCTGATTTCTAGATTCCACTAGAGAGAAGGATCAAGGGAACGGAGATGCAGATTCTTTTCTTAAATGAAATAAAAGACAAAGAACGTGAAGTGCCCTTCAAGAACGCCTTAAGTGAAAAGTAAAAGTGAGTGCAAAGCAGAACGATGCACGTCTCAGTAGTTCTAATGTGACCACCACTCATGGCTCCCAGAATCCAGTCCCCACGAGGAGGCTGCTGCAGCCCCGCAGAGGGTGGCAGCACAGGAGAGAACGCCCTCTAACTCGGCCCACGGGCACCACGCTGTGCTCCTGGGGGTGACGAGTGGAGACAGGGAATGTTAAATGGGGGACACAAAGGGACCCCCAGATGGATGAACACTGCATGGCCACAGGCTCCTTTGTCCAATGGCTGGGTCCCTCAGGCTCCGTGTCTTTCCCCCCAAATACAAATTAAAACAGTAAAAGCTATGGAATGATTTGAAAAGCATGTAGTGTACACACACACACACACACACACGAAGTGAGAGACAATTCATCGTTTTGAAAGGTTACTGACTCATGACCATAAAAGGCCAACTCGCTCGCTTTTCCACAAGTGGTCCGTTGCTACCCAACTGATCAGTTTGGGCAAAATAAAGAGAAAAAAAGGAAATCCCAGAATAGTTTCTTTTTAAAAATAAAATATCTGCAAGGAAGCGACCCATTTCCTAAAAATGCTTCACATAAGGTTAGGAGGATAAGAACTGAAAAAGTAATTTGTATGTTAACCACGAGTTAGAATTCTGAGTCTCTGTAAAGTAACTCATCGTGAAAAGCCTACAATCAAGGGGTCTTCTTCCACCCTGAGGCCGTGTTCCCAGGCTGGCCCCTTCTCTGCACCCAGGATGGATCGCACGAGCACACGTGGCGGTGCCGTGTCACCAGAGCTGTGTGATGATTCCACAGCAGAGCTCAGAGTGACTCACGGCTGTAACTACGAGCCAGGTGGACGCGCCACACGCTGTCGATGGAAAAAGTAAATGTCATGGCTCCGTCCCTGTCCCCGGGGAGCGTGCCAATATACGAAAGATGCCCTCCTAGACACACGAGGGAAAACCGGAACAACTTCAAGGTAGCAGGCACATCCGAGCCAGGTCTGAGGGAGTGACAGGTGTTGGGGGACGGCAAGGGAACAGGATGACATTCTAGGAGATGGGAACAAGGGAACAACGTGGGCAAAGGCACATCGTGTGGGGCACAGTCTGCTTGGAAAAGGCAGTAGACGGGTGTGGCAATTAGACCTCCAAAGGTCTGTCACACGGCCCACACCTCCAGTGGCACCGAGCACCAGCAGGAGCTCCAGACAAACTTGTGGAATGAATCTTCTGCTGAGGACTTTTCAAGAGCTCCCAGTCTGTTTGCGATAAAACCTAAAACTTTAACTAAGACTCCCAAGGCCGTCCAGGTCTCTAGGGCTTAAGTCAAGCTGGCCCTTTTCCTGCTTCAAGACTGTGACTTCGCCTGGAATGTTCCTCTTTTACTCTTTACCTGCTAACTCCTACGCATTCTTTTGGCCTCAGAATATATGTCTCCACGAAGAGCCCTACAGCTAATTCAAGAAGCATCTGAGTACCTACTATGTGCTAGGTACTGTATTCTAACTGCTGGGAAATGCAGCAAGGAACCAAAAACGGAAGAAGAAAACCCTGCCTCTGCCTCAATCTTAACCTCAATTAGGTCCTTCTAGTATATTCTTTCTTGGAGTCCTATACTTTAGAACACGTTTTGAAGGTCCGATTATAAGTTAGTTTGCTGCAGTCCGACTCCCCCACTGGCCGGGAGCAGGAGCCGGGTCTGGAACGTACATTACTCCATCTCCAGCACCTAGGACAGTGCCTGACACTCGGCACGGGCTCAGCAGGCGTGAACGAGCCAGGGGCCTGTTTATATTAGCAACTGGGGATCGGGGAGCTGAAGGAGCACGAGCCAAAGGAAAGACAACGAGGCTGAGAGATGAGGGCCAGAGTGCGAGCGGCTGACGGATTCGGCAGAGCTGAGCGCTCAAGGCAGCTTCGAAATGAACGTTTTCCCTCCTCTCCTCTGCTCGACACTGGCATCTGCTTTACGGGGTACGTGATACGTGAAAGCAGGCCCTTAGTTTAACGCACTGCATTAACACCATCTCATTTCTCTCAGCAAACAAAAACCATCTGAGAATCACGTGTCAAATCGAATGTTTGCCTCTCTACAAAAAGGGCAAAAATAAATATAGTTGATGATTACTATAGATTTCTATATTGTTTATTTCTATTTTCATTCTCAAACCATAAAATTCACCCTTTGAAAGTATACAATTCAGTGGTTTTTAGCATATTCACAAAGTTGTCCAATCACCAGCAACGTCTAATTCCAGAACATTTTTATTACCTGTCCTCCCAAAGCCGCCTGTACCCGGAAGCAGGAATTCCCCACTCCCACCTGCCCCCAAGCTCTGGCCATCGATCACTAAGCTGCTTCTGTCTCTGGATTCGCTTGCTCCTGACCTTTCGAATAAACAGAATCACACAACGTGTGATTTGGTGTCTGGCTTCTTTCATTTGACGTGTTTCGAGGTCCATCCATGTTGTCATCTACATCAGTACCTCATCCTTTTCGCTACAGATTTTCACATGAGTGTTGACTGTTCCTCGATGTAATACTACAGATCTACTAGAATTGGCCATAAGGAGAGACACATTTGAAATAACATAACGAAGAAAAAGAACTTACTTGCACTGGGCGTGAAAATATTTGATCAGATTCTGAAGTAAGTCCACTCCCTTTTTAATCTTAATTTCATTGACCTTCAGCAGATACTATGAAAAAAGAAAACAAAAGGAAGAATGTCATAAATATAAGCGAATACGAGCTTAACATGAGCTTCTGAGGACAGACTACCTCTTCCGGTTCGCTGACATCTTTCGCTGTGGGGAGAGCTCATGGTAGAGGTCTGATATTTTCGGAATGCCATCTCTAAATGTTTCCTTTAGTTTGGTGCCATATGAATTATCTGACTTACAGGCATTAAATGTTCAACATGAAGTGCCGAGAACTTCTGGTCATAAGGTATCTTCACTCGCTCGGAGTCACACGGAAGCATGAGGATGGTTAGGATAAACGGGACTTGACCGTTCTGGATATTCCTGTCTGCACAGTTCTGTCCGGGACCCCTTCTCCAGGCAGGTCACCATCCAGAACACTAACTACTAAGCTTGTGTGGCTGAGACTCTTGGCGCCATGTCTCTAATCCTAAGACGCTTCCCTGACACTTAAAAAAAAAATGTGACTGTGATAAAAAACAAATTTTAAATGGAAATGAATTAAAGCCACTTTTAACTTGGAGAATTCATTAACAAGCACTAAGACATCAAGAAGCCCCAGGGATCTGCAAAACCAGCGTCAGGAAATACACTTGCTCTCTGCTAAAGGTTTATAGAACGAAGACTGCAAAAATTCCCTCTCCCTGCACCGTCAGGACGTGGTAGGAAGAACTCCAGGAACATGTGATCTCTGACACTGGCTGCCCTCAAAGAGCTGCCGAACCCCGCAGACCACACGGGAATTTCGGCTGCAACGTGGGAGACTCACGTGCAGATCTTCCCCAGGCCTGCCCCGCGGCCCACCGGCAGGAGATGCGAAGCTGCCGGAGTGACCTACGGAACCTTCCTTTGCTTTTGTCCTGGTCTCCCTTTCTTTTTGATATTTATTCACTGTTAATTGAATAAGCTGTCCGGCAATGCATCGAAATGGTTAGTGAGATCCTGGGCAATGTGCCAGACTTTACAATGTGTGTACCCTTTGACCTGGAAATTCTACTTCCGGGAACTTATTCTAAGAAGACAATCATGAAAGTCTGCAAAGATGAATCCAAAGGAAGGGTCCACTGCGGGCTTGTTTGTAAAAGTGCAAAACAGCCACGACCGTCTCAAAGACTGGGGAGTTACGGTGTGGTGCATCCAGACAGAACATCGCTCTGCAGCCATGAGCCAACGAAGCAGGGACTTCCTGACACAGGAAGATGCAGGCACACGCTGGGTCAAAGTACCAGGTTACGGAGCATCAGCAGAGAAGGCCCCTGTTTACACAAATCATGTTGATGAATGTACACGCAGGGATATGTGAAAAATGTCTAGCTTAATGTCAAAGTGATTATCTTTTAGAAGTAAAATTTGAAGTGATTTTAATTTCTTATATATATTTATGTTGACCAATTTCTAAAAGTATATTATTTTTATAATAAGAGGAATGCAAGACGGGATCTCTCATACCTTCTCCATTCACAGAAGCCCTATTTGGAACACTGCATTTCTTTGTAAAATTCATTCTGAAGAAAAAGTTCCACAGCTTTAAAATAAAAGCCTGAAAGCCATTCTTCTAGATTTGATCCCAGGCAACTGAAAATTTGTAACACCTAAACAACGCTTAGCATTTAACAGAGCTTGAAAACTTCAGTCTGAGGAAATGGTTGAGCAGTTTTAAAATGATTTAAACTGCAGCAACCTATTCATTTTCGGATGTCGGGTGCTCGGGGAATTGCTTTTCAAACGCTCTCTTCCCCAAGGCAAGCCCGTTCCAGCCCATGCCTTCATCAGATGCATCCAAGTTCACTGCCAGCCAGACCACCTCTGCTTTTCTACATGCACATGGCGCCTGGCTCCACCACCTGCCAGCTCTGCAGAGGTGGCGACCCCATTACACTCAGTACAGACCGGATGGAGCCCAACAACCGCCCCGGACCGGCTCAGAGGCATCAGCTACACATGTATTTCCAATAAAATAAGCTATTTATCCAGCCCACACGATCCATTTGCCCAGACCCGGAGGAGGAGAGCACGCACCACTGGGAGCACACCACGGAGGGCGGCGACAGAGCCCAGCGCTGGGACTGGCGCCCCTCACTTCTACGACATGCTAATAACACGCTGATGGCGTTTCACAGCTCACAAATATTTTTAACAAGCAGTCTTGCAGACTTTAGGTAAATATTTCTTCCTTACGAGCCAAAAAGAGAACACAGTCTGAACACACACACAGACCCTTTCCAAACCCATTCTTCGTAGAACACCGTGACTTAATTTTACCCTGATGAAATAAAACCAATCCCTTGTGTTTGTGTAACACACCTAGTCCCTGCCTCATGCTGCCTGGGCGAACTAGGGACCATACCCGATGTCCGTTTACACAACGGCGTGTGTATAAAACCTCTGCTCTCCTGTCTGCAATGACACTCGAGCTTCGTTATTACCTTTCTAAATAGCATTCGCTTAATGAAAAACAAAGCAGCAAAGGGGGAAGAAAGTCACAAAAAAGACATAAAACAAAAAACAAAAGTAAAACCGCAGATGTAAATCCAACTACATCAACAGTGACATCAAATGTGAAAGATTAAACAGTCTCATCGAAAGGCAGAGACTGGATAAAAAAATGTGAATGAACTGATGTCTACAGGAAACACACTTTAGATTCAGACTCAGGGTGAAAAAGAAATTCCAGGTAAACAGAAGCCGAAAGAGAGATGGAGCGGGCCACACTAACGTCAGACCGCTCATCTCTGATCCTGGGACTGACTGTCCTCCGCTGACCACCAGAGTTTGCTCTGGGAATAAAAACTCATTTAAATATAGTCCTAAAGTACACACTCAAAAAGGCTAAGCTCCCGCTATCGTTAACAAACAAACATTCCCAAATTTAAAAGTCCCTGTGGACTCGCTTTGCTGTTGACTGCTTACAGGGAATCGAGAGCTGGCTGAATCCAGTTTCAAGACCGGTCACAAATATCACATGTGCACTCACGCTGTCATTCCCCCGCTGCCCGCCAAGGCAGGCAGCTCAGGCTGCAGGACAGAGGGGAGCAGGGAGGAGCCCCCTGGGGGCTCTTGCCTGGATGAGCAGGTGGAAGCACTTCCAGAGGCAGGTGGCCTGGCTTCTCATCATGCCATCCCTCACTCAGAGAGGACAACAGCGGACAGACGACAAGCTGCATTTTCCCCAGCTGACTTCTCACTGCCTCTCCGTCACTGATGCCATTGGTACAACAGGAACCAATATACCTCATTAAAACACACGCAGGAGGGTTTCTCAGCCACGTTCCAGTGAGGGGATGAGTCTGAGCGAGTGTGTGTGTATGTGAGGCCAGAAAGGCCATTCCTTAAGTGCCCCCCGCCTTCCATAAAAGGCTGGTGTTAGAGCCATCTGTGCCACCATCCAGCCGGCCCGGGTCCCCCAGGAACAGAAACCGACAAATGCGTCTAACAGTGCACCGTGCTGAGGCCGCTGGCTGGTGGCCGCCAGACCGCGGTGCACTGGGGACCCGCTCCCGCAGGGGTTCAGGGGCGGGGCGGCGCTGCCCGCCTCACCTCGCACATCTGCAGCTGGAAGATCCGCCTCTCCTTCTCCATCTCCTCCGCGATTTCCGCCCCGCTGATCTCCGTGCGGATCATCCCGTGCAGCCTGGCGTGCTCCTTCTTCTCCTTCTCGATTTTGGTTCTGCAGGTGAAAAAAAGCAAGATCAAATCAGATGCCTCTCGGCATGTGGTCGAGACCGGGTGACCGGGCAGTGGTCTTGTCATCCAGCCTGCGAGACAAACGCTCACTGAGCCTTTTAGGAACATGACAGTCTGTCAATTTACTGGAAAGGAAAATGCATTTGGTCATAAAAATAAGTGGCCTCTTTTGTTGAGTATTTAAATTATTTACTCAACTAATTCTTCCCAAGCACCTACTTTGCTTGGGAAAGTAGATCTGCGTCAGAGGAGGGGGACCTGCCCGCCTCGGGCTCCCGCCGCAGCAGCATCCGCTCCAGGGCCACCATGCAATGCCAAGGGCACGCCCTGCCTCCCATCCTTTCTCCCGATCCCTCCCATCTCCCGCTCAGCACTCAGCAAAGTCGGGCCGAGGGCAGTGCTCGCCGACCTAGAAGAAAACAGACCCCCTTTCCGGTTTTAAGCGTCATTCCCCCTTCCACGTTCATCTCCCGCTTAAGCTAGAGCATGATGTCAAGTGTGCAGTCCAGGCTCTAAACTGACCAACTGGAGCATGTCCAAACAAGAGTGGCCAGGGAGAGAAGCAGCCATGAAATCACATCAGTTAAGAAGAGCTTGAAATAGTAACTTAACTTTTATTCTGGAGAAAAGGAGACTAAACAGAAACCACAGAAAGCGCTCGAAAATATAAAGGCTGCCGTGAAGAAAAGGGAGATGTTTTCTGCAGAGCATCACGGAAGACACTGGAAGACGTAAGGCGGCATTGCTTAGAAAGTGGTTCGACGTGACACATTTAGGTTCGAGTGCCCCCCACCATTGGGGAGGGAGTATTTAAGGGGTAACAAATGTCGTTTCTGCCTCTTGATTTTCATGTTGAAGCACAGTGCTGGGCACACAGTAGGTACTCAGCCCCTGAATGAGTAAGAATAGAAATAAACAGATGCCTGTTTGGTGGGGACGTTGTTTAAATTGACTCATACGCCAGGGGGGGCCCGTAGGTCCCTGGGACTATGCGACGCCACCCCAGGGCTCCCCCTGACACCGCCTCAAAGGGAGCAGGACAGTCCAGAGGTCATTCTTGTAAGAATCAGGATAGAACCACTGCCCAGGAATTTCAAAAATGCCTAAAACCTGTTTGTTACGTGTCACAAGGCCTCTTGGGATAAATCAATCTCACCTGTAAATGGGTGAAGAGTTACTTCATTTACCTAGAATTGCTTCGAGTTTCAAAAGGGGCTACTCCCCCAATCTCAAATTCTAGGATTTTGTGAGTAATTCTGCCCCCGCCCTACCTGTGTCTTGCTTTTACAGAATTTGATCTCGTTCCCCTTTCAGAAGCAGGAGGCACTCTCAGAACCCCGCTCAGAAGCCCCTTCCTGCCCTCGGCTCGGTAACACACGGGGACACTTCCTCTGGGGTGCCTGAGCGTGGCGGCGAGAGCAGCTAAGTGAAAGTCCACAGAGCCACCTCCTGGCTGTGGCCCGACTATCGGCAGCAAGCCACCGAGTCTGGGTTTACTATCTGTAAAGTGCGGATAGTGGTCCTTTCCCTCTTTATTAGACTGAGGTGGGATGCGGACGAAGGATGCTAAAGGACCAGGCATGGCAAGTTGGGAGCCTTCAAGGTATTCTAGTTAACACTCGGTCTGCGCTTCTACATAAATGTACGCCATTCGTGAAACCAGAATCTGGGGATCCAAGCAACTTAGGGTACAGAAATTAAAGATGTCTACGGATGGAACAGGTGTCAGAGGTTTGGTGCTCCTTGGTCTCAGCTTTGTGATCCTTCAGCACTGAACAGACACCCAAAGCTGGCAAAGAACAAAACTAAACAAAATAAAACGAATTAAATACTTGCAGTTACATCTTGAATGGCTTTCTTCTTAAGGTTTCCTACTTTACCAGCTGGCTTCATATTAAAGTTGCTATTTCCACTCAGAAAACAACGTTATTACCCAATGCACAGCAATTACAAAAGCAAACATGAGGCATTTAAAAATACTTTCTATTCCCCACGTATTTGAAATAGCTGAAACCATTTCACCCACAATCTCTCGCCCAGTTCTGGCCAGCTCAATCCCCTCCACCGCAGGAATGAAAACTGTGATCGTAAAGGTCACAACCGCCTGAAGCCAACCAGCAGCAGGAGCCTTGCCCTCAGTGGGAGCTGCTGCACATCCGAAATTCAACCGACCGGTTCTTCAAGTGTGTTGGCAGACGAAGCAAAAAATGCAGCTCAAGGGGAGGGCGTTCCAACAATCCCTCTTTTCTGTCCCTTCCCCAAACCGAGGGGACTGGCATCGCAGAGAAATGTGGACAAAAGCTAAGAGCAGATGGTTTTCGCGAATCCGCAGGAATTCTGAAAACTGCCGCTGTCACCCACGGTGATAAAATGAGGAAGATGTTTACAAGAAAAAGGAGGGAAACGCTTCTTGAGAGAAACTGGCCTTAACTTCCTTTCATTAACTTCCCTGACAATGACGTTCTGTAACCATTCGGACATAAGGAAAGGGACGAGGAAACACACGTTTAGAAGATAACATCGCCGAATTTAGACGCCGGGTATGAAAACATCTGGCATTGTAATGAACCACAGCAACACAGTTTTAGGTGAATTCTTTTCTGGATTAAGATTTACTTAGACAATACCTTTAAGTGATAAAAGCTCAATTTAGAATTGAAATCTCAAATTACTTATGTTTATTTTTTAAAAGGAAAACACTCACATTTTGGTTTCGTAGTCCTTCCAAGCTTTATCAAAAGGCTTTTTCAGATCCTATAAACAGAGAGGCATAAATTAAACCAGACTAACCATTAACTTCCAGGTAAGATAAACTGACTTATCCCTAGACCGGCCCCTGAAAGGATCATTAATTTCTGTAACAAATGACGTCTGTGATTCCATGAAAAAATAAAAAGCTTAGAGCACAAGTTTTCAATTAGAGTAATGATGGCATTTTCTTTCTTTCTTTAAAAAACAAAAACAAAAACGAAACTTTATTATAGAATATATACACCAAATGCAAATAGAAGAGAGAGAGAGAGAATCATACACGACAAGAATTAGCTCGTGGCCCGTCTCATTTCACCTAGGATTATTCTGAAATTAAACCCAGAAAGACATAACATTTAATCTGCAAGTATTTCAGTATCTCTTCTCTCAAAGGAAAGGACTCTGACTTGTTCTATTAATACACGGATCTCCCCAAACCCATGGAACCCTGATCTGGGTCCCAGCAGTGAGAATATGGGAGCCATTATCTTCTGACGTTTCCCCGTTCCACTTGTCCGCCTGGACCTCAGGGCTTCATACTCTGATGAAGCTTGGCTCAAAAGTACTGAGCCAAGACGGCTATGGGTCAGACCCCTCACTGTCCTAGCGGCTCTTCCTGGCGCACTGTGCGAGGGAGACACGAGAGGTCTCTGCACAAGTCCCTGAGGTCGGCCAAGCTGCACTTCTGGATGTGCCCAGACGCGACCCGGGAATCACGTGCGGATCCAAGCACAGAACTCGGCCTCCTAAGAGCGCGGGCACATCTGTCTGTGACAGTGCCATGCAAAAGTGACTTAGTGCTCAGCATCTGGCACCCAAATGCCCCCCGAGCCCTGACTGCTCCTCACTCACACGCTCGTGGAACACAGGGCTCAAGTGTTTACACGTGGCACCTCCGACACAATGAACAGCCTCTGGGGGACAGAAAAATGGAGCCGGCTCGAGCCTCCCTGGTGCCAGCTCTTCCCCGCAGGAAACCGCATCCCGGTGAGGGTGCTGCTCCCAGGGGTCGGCCAGTGACACATCGGCGGGAAAACCAGACCTCTCCACGCAGGCTTCCCTGCTCGACTGACGGGGCCCAAAGATGGTTTAGTTCTCCGAAGAGCTCGCCCCGCTCCCCTTACTGTGTCTGGAGCACCAGCAGGCTTAACGGTGGTGCCAAGATGGCAGATCAAGGGACAGCGTGGCAGCCAGAGGCCGTCCTGCCACCCCAGTAAGGATATGCGAACACAGCGGCTGCCCTGACGGCCGCGTGACTGTGATTCCGCAAACGCTGTCCCCCCACGAGCAGGACTTGTCATACCCCTTTCACTCCTTTGAGGTCGCCCTTCAGCAAACTGTCCAGAGGGAAGGAGATGATGTTGTTCATATTCTGAATCTAAAAAACAAAAACAGAGAATATTCTCATTCGATTTCCTTTTTAAGCTAAAGGTAGGACAGCAAGGATGTTGGAGACCATTAGGTGATAATTAACCTTCACTTCAAACCTGACTAGCACAGGTATGATGATGGCCTTATCCATTCTTACTTACATTCTTAGTAAAGATTTCATCTTACAAATGAATACATAACTAGTGACAAATCTACATGTTATTTTCCATAATAACAACCTTCATTGTTAAGCTATCAACTTTGTGAAGAGATAATCATTACAATAATTTTTTTTTCCCAAAAATAATCCGTGAGTGAACCACTTAAAGACACCGGGAGAGAAGGGGACACCGCTTTCTCCTCTCACTCATGGCTCCACTGACGACCTGGGGCTTGCTTCGCTCAGCTCTTGGCCTCCATGACCCCGTCTCCCTATCACAGTCCCCAACAGGGGGACCAAGAGGAAGAACAGAAGTAGGGGCTTCTGTCTCCTATGAATGTGTATGAGTGACTGCTGAACGAGAATGACAAAATGAGTGTGTGTGTGTATGAGAGTGTGTGTGTGTGTTTGTGTGAGTGTGTTTGTGTGAGTGTGTGTGTGTGTGGGTGAGTGTGTGAGTGTGTGGGTATGAGAGTGTGAGTGTGTGTGAGTGAGTGTGTGTGTGAATAAGTGTGTGTGAGTGAGTGTGTGAGTGTGTGTGTGAGTGTGTGTTTCTGGGAAAAGGAGAGGCAAGAGGTCTTGAGGACCCTGCTCTTCTCCTTGAAGCCAGAAGGCAAGAGGCTGGTGGCTTAACGAGCTGTCGCCATGGATTAAATCGGGGAGCATCGAACCTTCCCGACACCCACTCAGAGGACAGCCGGAGATAGCCAGGCCACCCCCACCGGCAAACGTGAGGAAACCGAAGGCCCAGAGAGCTCCAGGCGGGAGGAGCTTCCGGCGCAGACACCCGTGCTCAGACCCCGCAGGAGACCCTCCCCGAGGAAGCGAGTGGAGCCCTACTTCCTCCGCCCCCCGGCTCGGACCACTGCGTTAAGCCAGCGAGACTGCCCGCTGGCCCTGCGGGGGCCTCGTGGCACATGTGTCACTCTGGGTTACATACACCGAGGTCACAGGCCAATGAAACGAGAAACACGATAAGAACGTTGGAGTTTCACACATTCACTCTTACGACTGAGCAGAGGCGAATCTTATTTTTAGTATAATTACCTGGAATAGGAAGACCAAATATAGGCACGATTTTTAAGGCAATATGGGATGTGATTTCTGTACACCATCTGACATATTCAATTTCAAAATGGAGAAAGAAACTTACTTGAAAAATATTGGTAAGATGTGTAATAATGACTGCACTAACCACCATTCCTGTCAAATAAATGATCAATTTATGACTCTCATTTCAGAAATGCCTTTTGGGGGTAACTTTTGTCCTAGGCTTAAACAGCTCAACATTTGTCATGTACCTGGCATTTCTCCAAGGTGCTGTGTAATCAGCTATGACCTGCTAGGGTTAGCCTTAAGAGTTAAATTTTTGAATAGTGAAAAGCTGAGTTTAAGGTGAGGTCTGGTACATGACTGGAAGTGACGGTGACAAATAAAAGGCCGCGCTGGTGAATAATAATCTGATAGCAAGCACGCCTAGGTTTCCACTGCAAACCGTGGTACAGAGCCACACGAGTGAGGGGCGCAGCTCTGCCACAGTCCCCACATCTCGGTCCCTGCTGGAACACCCCTGGAAACTGTGTGCCCAAGCCAGCCCCGCCAACCCACACCCACCCTGCCTCCTCCCGCCCACACGAACCTCTTCTCCACCAGGTGGAGGCCTAGGCTTCACCCTTCCCCGGCTCAGCTCTGCCCCGCCCTATCGGACCAGCTGCCGTTCTCACCGACCCCGCACCTCGGATGGGCCTCGCTGCCCCTTTTCTGGACTGAGACAACAGCTTCCCTGCTCCCGGCCTCCGTCCGGGTCTCCGCCTGCCCCGCTCCCTCCTCCACAGCTCTGGCAGCTTTACCTGGCATCATGTCCCTGACAGAGGCTAAGCGCACTCCTGCATCTGAGTCTCTGAGTCCCTCCGCCGTCCCACCTCATTTGCTACTTTTTGTCTTCATGTCCGGCCGTGCAGAATTCTGGCGTTCTCTGCTCCCCCGAGCTTATGTTCAGGCTCAATTTGTTCCATCCGGATGAAATGTCCTCCCCGCTGTTCAAAACCTTCCCATGCATAGGATTTACTCAAATGTCATCTTCTCCACTAATACCCCAAATCTCCCAGTAGGAAGTGATCCCTGCCTCCCCGAATCCTCCAATATTTTCCTTTTAGAAAACGTCTTAAGGCCATAGACAGGTTCTATCCTGCATTCATCTTATCGACCGCACATCATAAACCCTAAAGGGGCGCTTCAAGTGTTCGTCATTTGTATATTCTCCATAGCACCTGGGGTAGGGCTTGGCCCAGAGCAGACGCTTGGTAAACACTGGGTGATTCAACCAATCAATATACTTAAACATTTTTCTGAGTATCTAATACAAAGAGTCTGTGTAGAGAGGCTTCAAATATATCAACACTGTTAAACCAAATACCATACAGTGAATGCATGTGTGAATTCATTAATTCATTTATCATGTATTTTTGAGCACTGATTTCGAAGACAGCAACAGACTGGCTAATATAAAGAAAACTGATGCTTGCCATCTCGGAGAAACAATAAATGTATACACACCGAGAATTAAACAAAAGGTCTGAGACCACACATGTAGCAGATTTTACTCTGTACAGACACCAATGCCTCCTTCTGGAAAGATGACTCTGGCTTTGCACTGACTGGTCGGGCAAGCTGACTTGGGCTTGGGAAGAAGTGACTGTCCCGGTTACTGGGCCTCAAGACACTGCCATTCGTCCGAATGATTGCACAGAACCATGGCTGGAGCCAGCAGCGCAGGCAGCCTGGGCCCTGAATGCCACCTGGACAGGAGCCACCGCCGTGCCTTCTCGGACTAGGCACGTGCAGGGAACAGGGCAGGAAACAGCATGACGGGGGCCAGAGCTGCCCACGTGGGAGGCCGAGCCGAAGGCAACAGAACAACTCAGTGCATGGCAGGCTGGTGGGAGCAAAGAACAAGGTGCTTGTGGATGAACTATCGTAGCTCCAGGGAGAGTTACAGGCGTCTTTTACGAGGAGTGAGTGAGGATAAGCGTGTGCGTGAACCAGTGAGAAAGACAAGGCTGTCCACAGCAGGGGAAAAGACTCTCAATCACGATTTGGCTCATACGTTATTCTGAGACTATTCGTTGTTTAATTCAAATAAGGACTAAGGTACTGATGACAGGTATTAGGGTAAGAAGAGTTAAACTAAGCTTTGGCATCTACAGTGAAATATTAAAATCGAGAGGAGAGAAAATCTATGAACATCCAAACACACTTGGCCGGCTTGTTTTCATTCTAAATCCTAGTGACAGGACCCCTAGCCTAGCGGTGAACATGACATTAAACAGCCATTACAACTGTGATGAATGGCACACAGCAGGCGCACGGGCCCTCAGGGAGTGACAGGAGATGAAGCTGCTGAGGTCCAGAGGGGTTAGGAGACAAAGAGGGATCAGACAGGGCCTCAGTCCTCGGGAGCTCACTGCTAAAGCCAGGGAGATAAAGCACATGCTTCGGGAAGTACATGGCCACGTGAAAACTCTGAGAGCCATAAATAAAACACCATGGAATTTCCAAAAAAAGAGAGAATCACTTTTGGGCTGGACTCCAGGGAAATCTCTGCTGATCGAGAGTTATACGAGAAAGACCTTTAAAAGGCAGAAGGAGTTTCGTCTTTTGAGGTGGGGTGGAGGGTGTTCCAGGCAACAGGAGCAGTGTAGACGTCCCCAGACATGGGGACGCACCGGCCGGCTGAGCAGAGAGAAGAAAATTCCGGGTGCTAGATCAGCTGAGGGGATCTGTCCTTCATTCCAGTCCATTTTTCTTTTTGGGGGCATTCGAATGATCTAAAATAGGAAACTATTACTCTCTACTCGGAAAATAATTAGCTAAATTATTACAAAAGAGACAGAAAGTAGATTCGAGGATACCTAGGGCTGGGAGAAGAGCAGGAATTAACTCTAAGAGGGCGTGAGGGACCCTACTGGGGGGAAAAATGTCTCCAAACTAATTTATGGCGATGGCTGCACCACCTGGTAAAGCTACTAAGACATTACTGACTTGTGCACTGGAAATGGGTGAATTTCACATGTAAAATATACTTTGGTAAAGCCAGTTTTGTTTCTGTTTTTGCTTTTTAAGAAACTGTTATAAATATAAGTAGAATCCCATCAACAGATTTAGTAATAAGGCTTCCTCACTCCTGGGCGGTAGCCTGTCTGCCCTCCGCGTCGGCATGCTCCACAGCACACAGCCTGCTGACTCAGCGTGGGCGGCCCAGGAAGTGACTGCTCCTGTCTGCCTGGGCCAACGACATGTGCACAGGAGCCCAGATGCTCTGCCTTGGCAGGAGTGCCCTGCGGCATCAAGGACTGCTCTGGATCCTTCTCTGACTGTGAGTGTCGGGGCAGCCCAGGCGGCCTCAGGCCTACCTCTGAACGAACCGTCCTCCGCCCGTCCTGGCCAAGAGATGCGGGAAGCGCAGCCAGCAGATTGCTGCACATCCCTTGTGCTCAGGCAGCTCAGCCTCGATTTACGAGTAATGAAGGTTTTACGATCTATGGGAAGAATTACTCCTGGGCAACCCAACCAGAATAGTTTCCTTAGCGTCAAGCAAGCATCGGGCCTTTTCTCATGCTGACTTTCTTTTAACAAGTACATTACATTAAGGGGCTTTTTAAAACAGCATACATGATCTAAATACAAATTATTAATCTTAATCGCTGCAGATAACTATGGATCTAATACTAAAAGCAAAGAGGCAATCTGTAAAGCAACAATCAACCCTCCCTTCTGCTTCTCTCTTCCTGGCTTTGCTTCTCCTGGGTTCACCTGGATGTGTCTGACAAGATGAGTCAGTAAGTCCT